TGCTTGAACATCTGATGGTTTGCCTTTCCCACAGTAGACACCTACCGGAAAGACATTACCAACAAAAGGTTCCATTATTCGGCCAAGGATTGGCCACAAGTCACATCGCCTCTTTCTATATAAAGGTAGTCCGTCTATAGCTAAATAAACTACAATTTCGTTTCCCCTAATCTGCAGTGAAGGCTGACTTACCTCCTTTGTTAGACACTTCATAAGTCCTACGTGAACATACTCCCCGCTGCCCATTGCGGTCACGGGTATCCGTTTGCTTTATCTTTCCCGAAGGGTACGGCCGTCTGAAGGTTGCTCCGGTGAAAGCGTGGTAAGATTTTGAGAAGTTTCGTAAGATGGATTGTTTCCGGGTCACATTCTACAGGCCTGCTCAAACTATTTCCATATATTTACGTACATACTAACTAGGATTAGTACTGTTGTACACATTGATTTGGAAATACTAACAGTCAAAGCCAGACCCTAGCGAGCCATGTCTCATTTGTACGTTTTAAAGGGTCGTCAGATGGACGTGGAGCGTCACTCTGAGGACCATCAAATTGTTCGACCGCATATTGTTTGGTACATGACCTGTGCGCCGACGAATATTCCTCTACTGGCGCCATCAGGTCAGCTTATTTGTGAAATTCCCAGAAGCCCTGCAGTTGAAAGCGTTAATTTCCACCACTGGTACACCCAAAAGAACAAACTTTCTGATTTAGGCAGCAGTGTTCAGTCGACATCTGGACCGAGAATTCACGTGCATGCGCGTGAAAAGCAGAACGCGCTTTATTTCTCTATGAGTCACTCATCTTTATACCTAAGATAGCGAAGGCTATCAATTTCCCCTGTCGGATTTAAAGGCTGTTCAATCTGATCGTAGACAAATCATCATGAACGTTTCGTGCAAAAGGAGCAGTCAGTTAGCCCTGATAATCAGTAGGATACTGCTTATGTTTCTCGTCTGAAGCCCATATTTTAAACCCTTATTGCGTTTCAGGGTCCGCAGAATTCAGAAAGTCACTGTATGAAGACAACGCGCTACAAACGTCTACGTGAAAAATGCATTTCTGTCTCAGTCTTATCTTACTGAGCTTTGCAGTCATCTCAGCTCTGACTGTCCAAGACCTCTATGAAACACTTGGTGTCTCTCGGTCTGCTAAACAGAACGAAATAAGGTCAGCCTATCGTCGTCTGGCTATGAAATGGTAAGTCTTTGTTGCTGTTTCACCTTGCATCTTGTGAAGGCATCCAGACAAAAACCCATCAGAAGAAGCTGAAAAAAAGTTCCTCGACATAACTAAAGCCTATGAGGTAAATACAGACTATCGTAATTCCTTTCGCAGGTTCTCTCAAACCCAGAGAAAAGGAAAGAATATGACACTTTTGGCACAATTGATTCTAACGCCGCAAACTATGAACGAAGAAATCCATTTTTCCATCACGGTTTTGACGCGGATATGTTACATGACGTGCTTGGAGACTTTTTCCAACCATTCAGACAGTTCACTCGGGAAAAGAACATTGTGGTTAGTTTTTGACGTAAACTATCGAATACATTTCTATACTTGTCGTGCACAGACTTTCGGAAGCTACAATCGGCTACCAATGCCGATTGATCAGGCGCTCGTTGATTGTTTGAACGACAAATTTATTTATGTATTATCTGGGTCGATAGTCAAATTGCGAACTATCGAAGACGACCATTTTTATTAATCATTTAACACAATCCCAAGTGTAGACTACTTGAGTTTCGAACTCAGAATCTTTGGTCATTGAGTCGCATGCTCTAACAACGAGCCAAGGGCTCGTTGCCCTGTCGCTTGTGATCAGGGATATTAATTATGACGAAGTGCCAACCACAAATCATTGGTAATGGCTTATAAGTCAGAAATGACTATTTCGATCTCCGTGGTCCTTGTCAGCACTCCAGCATAACTATAATGAGTTACGCCTCTATTTCGTCGCTGTAGCGCGACATAGCAGGATGCGAGACCGAACCTGTCGGACTCATCTTGAGCCAGGAAAGCTTGAGGGCTTGTATAAACGACTTCTGCGAGCACAAGGCTGGATTAGCCACCTGTATGGCCACTGCCTCTGCTGCCGGAAGACTTCGCTAATTCAGTAAATTGGATTGTTCCTGTGGCACTTTAACCTACCTTTCGTTGGCTGTTTTAACTTTAGATGCTCTACTCTAAGCTACTTATATTACTGTACAGGGATAAAGATTAATAATTAAAAAAAACGTAAGCCCGTAGAGTTTAGCTACTTAGAGAATATAACTGTTGACGAAGCCGCTGACAATGTTTCTGCGCGACAGGGCTGTATAGCGTATAGGAATTGTGCTCAATCAGTGACTCCGCAAAGTAAGAGCGTTTAATAGTTAGTGTTTGAGAAGGCATGCAGGGGAGCCAATGTCTAGGTTGCATCGCGCTGGCTGCATGACTAACGCAGTTACCTTAAGTTGACGGTTTTCTCAGCTTGCTTCTCTCTCAGAAGTTCTTCAAAAAAAGCATTGTCTTAAGTACCCCCTATCCAAAATGATACATTGCTCATAGCTTCGGAGGTAATTACCCTGTATATCACTTTGAATTATGGTTCTGAGGTCGTCTAGCCGTAGTCCACAATCTGCTCATTCTTCGTGCACCCAATGTTTTTTTTCGTCATTGGGTTCTGTTAAAAAAACGTCCGAAACTTCGACTTAGCGCTTTAATTTGGACGCCTAATGATAACCCCACGTCTTACTGATTTTTTTTGGAATAGATGTCCTTGGAACACATGGTGAACGTACCACCATTCAAGTGTCTTAGTCCGTCCCTTCGTCCTCTTACGCTATTATCTAGTAGTGAAATACTTATGAACTATTTTCATCTTCTCAGTCTCTCCGAGTGTCTGACACAAAACTTATAGAATGAAAAACAGTCAGCTAGCTGTTATGTCAGTTCGACTGTCGCGGACGACGAATTCCACCGTGTGCCCCACGGCATGGTAGACTCACGACAGTGACTTGCGAGTCAATTACTTCATAGTGATGGCAGAAGCGCACAACGTTTGCCGCACTCTCACCCACATGGATTCGATAGCCAGACTTAGTCGGGGCGGCCGGAAGTTGGATAGGGCGTTGTAGCTTACGAAGCTAAACAATCCGTCCATGTATGCCACAAACGACCTGGTGCGCGCACGTTGGGTCAGCTTTTCACATAGAAAGAGGGTAGCTTGGATCCTGTCTTAGTGAGTGTGCCATAGAGGTCATGCTAAGGAGGCTTCTTATAGTCCGACCTCCATCCTGAGAGGATCAAGTTATCTCGTCAGCTGGCAGCCACGACTTTTGGCGCATCGTAATAGTTTAAGGAGAATGGGATACGGTTTACTTTGAAAATATCATTCCAAAATTGTCAGCAAAAAACGTTCTTCCTTCACCATAAATGAAATAAGGCACAGAAACCGCAATTGTCGACATCGTGGAGAAATGTCCTTGAACATGTCACAAAATGTAGGCCAAATTGAACATCCTTCAAATCGGCGCTAGCGTCGTACACTAATGATGACCTCGTTGTTGTAGTTCAGCTAAGCAGCGAACGGTGAAAAGCGGTTTATAATGAGCTTACTGGGCCAACGGGTGTATATATAGGAAAATTTACGTACGAATGTAAGGAAGATAAAAATAGCTGCTCAATTTCAAAATCCCGCGCGTCTGATTATTAGCAGTAAGTAACTGCACTGAAGTGCCATGATTCAGCTCCTAGGCTTGCCACCACACTTTCCCCACAAATCTCCCGCGTGACTCGTTATGGGGACGCTCTCTTTTACAAAGAAGAAAACATGGTCGCTGGAACAAGCGTATTTTTTTCGCCTGGAGTTTCAAATTTACACACTCGAAATCGTATTGTGAACCAGTGAAATTTCTTATCCCAAACGCTGCTAGTACCTTTTCTTTCCCTTTTTTCTTCCCCTAATGCCATGTCTGACCCATTCCTCTGCGCTTCATCCTCTTAGGAGATCAATTTCCGTGCTTACCGACTGGGTCACCTTCCAGCCACCCGGACCACCCCATTACTTCTGCTGGGCTATTCACACTTCTGCTTTGCCTGTCAACGTGTTCGACCTCTGTGGTCGCGACTTGCCGAGGAGCTCACTCCACTCGGTGTGACTGTTTCTGTAGCCAACGTCCAGGATGACCACGCCCTGCGCGAGGAGCTAAGACTGCTGCACGCACCGGGCATAATTGCTGTTATCGATAGTAAGGTAAACCACTCACTGCCATTTTACGCGTCCTGTCCAGGTAACCACCTTAAGTAGCGTTTTTTTTACTGCCTCTGATTTCTTGACTTTCAATTTACTTTGCGTTTAATAATTCACCTCTTTTCATGGGAATGTCAGACACGCATTATCCGGATACTATGTGTTAGTGAGAATTCATGTGAATCTTTGAATCTGGCTAAAATGCTGCTATTACCCAGTAGAACGCTAGATATCACAACTAAGATTAAGATTCAACAATTTAAAACAAAGTTTCCCAGTTGTAAATTTGTAGATTGCAAAAATAGCAAGATTTATTGGATCCATGAAATTTCGGGAAAGCTCATCAGTTGCGTCC